CAATAATACATAAATATTTGGTCTAAATCCTAATTTTATGTAATTTAAATGAGGATTTTTTGTAAGTCATTTGAAAAAAGAAACCTCAAATAGAATTTAAATATTGAGATTTCCCAGCTGGAAAGAAACAAAAGCTTTGATAGCTCACAGGGAAAATCTCAATATTTTAAGGTGTTTTTCTCAAAATCAGGGTTTTGGTTGCTAATGCTCAAAAAAGTGCTTCAAAAATTTTTTGTTTTAGGATATTTCAGACAGTTCGTTGAAATAATATATTAATAACACATTTATTTGTTATAGTTTGACAAAATATAATTTTTGCAAGCATTTTAATCAAAACACGAGATCTGCTTATTTCTTCACATACAACTTTTAGACCTAACCCTCGTTTCGGTGTGATGGGTCACAKATATAGATTATTAGACAAATACGACACTACAGCATCACTTTCTGGTTTATTTATTGATGTGTTTTACGGTTATCYAGGAAAGTACAACTCTGTCTTATGAAGTTTGTCCTCTCCTAAATGTATATTTGGGAGGACTCAAATATAAGTTTCATTTTTAATTTTAAGTAAAAATATATTCATGTCATCACCCTCTTTTTGTTTTTCACAAGAAATGTCTTGTTTTTGTTTTTTTTTCTGAGTTTCCTGAAAAACTAAAAAAAAGCGTTTAGTAATTATTTTCAGAAAGTGGTGATTTTTAACACCTAATTGTTCAAAAACAGTGTTTGTTTTTCTGTTTAGGAGGTTCTGCTAATCCTAAATAACTATGGGAAATTAAAAATGTGCACCAGGCAAAGGTCTGGATGAGTTTGTCGGGGGTGGGTTGGGTAAATGTTTTTCAGTATTGCCTCTTCCTCGGTGGTGTCTTGTTGTTGTTTTTTCCTCACTCCTATTATTGTTTTCCTCCTCTCAGCTATGATCGTGTTGATGAAATCATCTGGGTGAAAACCAACCAGCTTCAGAGGATCATCCGGACCGGCAGGACCGGTCACTGGCTGAACCACGGGAAGGAGCACTGTCTGGTACTTTTTAATGTGTTAAACTGAGTTTTTATTGTCTCATTTTCGGTGATTGCTCTTTTAAAAAAAAGAAAAGCGCTTCGATGACGCGTCGTGTTTTTGTCCTCAGGTGGGCGTWAAGGGAAACACTCAGGGCTTCAACAGAGGTCTGGACTGCGACGTCATCGTGGCTGAAGTAAAGTGTTATTTTTATGTTTGGAGACTTATTATCTGTAAGGCTGTCAGCGACTAAGTGTCTGCACGCCCGACTCAGGTCCGCTCCACCAGTCACAAACCAGACGAGATCTACGGCATGATCGAGCGGCTCTCGCCCGGCACCAGGAAGATCGAGCTGTTCGGACGACCCCACAACGTCCAGCCCAACTGGTAAAAACAGGCTTTAATGTAAAACTGTCGTTTGTGGTTTCAAAACGTCATGTTTGCCTTTTTGAAATCTCCGTCCAGGATAACTCTGGGCAACCAGCTGGATGGGATTCACCTCCTGGACCCTGAGGTTGTGGCGCGGTTTAAAGACCGATATCCAGACGGAGTTATCTCCAAACCTTAAGACGCACAGTGATGACATCACACGCCTGGAGTTTGTTTTTTTGGACTGCTTTTGTACCTGTGAATATTTTGTAATAAATATTTTGAATTAGATATATTGTCTGTGTGTGTTAAAGTGGGGTTCTGTTGAGAACTTATGAATACTAAACRTCTTATTTGTTGTAGATAGCRTTTTGAACAAAGAAGTAGGTTAATTCTGACTGGATTGATGAGCAAATGGCTAGTTTTAATCCACCCACAACAATTTATAGCAGCTCTTTTAGAGGCTTTAACATCTACCAGTTTCACGTTACGCTGAGATTTAGGCAAAAAATATTCCTGTTGAAGTGCTACTGTTGCTGCCGCCGCTATTTTCAAATAACTGTCTAATTTTTAATTGATTAAATAGGACAAACTCTGAGTAACAATCCATTTTGGACTTTGTCAGATTAGCTGTTAGCCCGTCAATCCAATCAGAACTTTTATTTATTTTTTTTACAAGCTGAGGCTGTTTCAAAATGCTTATCTATAGCAGGTAAGATATTTGTTGCTTCTACCAAATCTTATTCAGTGATTTCAACTATCTCTTTAAAAATGGGTAAAACTGCAATAATGTATAAGCAACCCCCCCCCCCCCCCACCAAAAAAAAAAAAAAAAAAAAAAAAAAATCTTGAGGTGCCTAAATTGGGGCCCACGGGCCAAATTTGGCCCATCAACCCATTTGATTTGGCCGGCCACTTTCAGTCATGGTGCTGACTTTATCTTTGAATTATGTTATATTAAGATTAAACATGAAATACATGTAGCTACAAGAGACATTTGGATCAGATTTAAGCACGTGAATCACAGACACTCGTATTTGATCAATTAACAAAATGTCCCATGAGCCTTTGTACAGGCTAAAAATAAACAAATAAAAAACACAAGTCAACGTGCTAGCTGCTAGCTTAATAAAAATACTTCACTAAAGCAGTGTTCATATTTCATWTATCATTGCATTTGGCCGCAGCTCATGGGTAGATTTTAATTTTGGCTCTTGAGGAAAACGTTTGGGCACCCCTGCTCTGATCCCAAAGCAACATGTTTACAATTAAATACAGGAGACATTACAAATTCAGTTTTCTTTTAGTAAAGAATTTCAATATTTTGACACACTGTAAATATGATTAAGTGTTGGTGTCCTTTCTGGGTGGTTACCAACACAAAGATACGTCAGTCCAATCAGATTAACAACAAAGTCTTATAAAAATGTTGATCAGGATTGCCAAACAGCAGAAATACAGTGAAGTTGCTGAGTGGCTCAGTTTATGTCAACCTGAAAAAAAAAAAAACCCAGCTCTTCATATCAGCTCTGTGTCAAACATTAAATCACCTTTATGACACTTCATGCTTAGGTCACTAAAAAACGTTTAGTATAGCATGTGGCTTAAAAAAATAAAATGTTAAAAACAAATTARTACATGATTATGTCACAAATGAAGTGTGGAAAATAAAGCAAAACACTTGGAGGGAATTATTTAGACTAATAGTCTAATTAGCAGGATGCAAAAAGGTAGAAAAAGCAAATAAAACTAGTTAATGCACTTGTTGGTAGAGCACACCGTAAACAATTCGTGTTTCCTGTCTTCAGTCCGTCAGGGCAGAGCATCCACTTTGTTCAAAGTCACTTTCAGCCTGTTTTTTCTCTGCCTTGTTGAACCTGATCAACCATCAGGAGTTCTGTCTGCGTGACAGCAGGTGTCTGAAGCTGACCCTCTTTTTGTTTTCATCACCAAAAGGCTTGTGAAGCGTGTAACAGAGTCTCTGCTCGGCTCAGTCGGTGGCGTCCACAGCATTGATGTTGCTGTCCAGCTGGTGTCTGAACGACAGCCTGGCCTTGGTGGAGAAATAGATCTGGGAGCCCCGGCTGAGGCTCCCCGCTCCTTCGCTGTCGCTGCCCCAGGATGTGGTGGAGGACAGCCGAGGCTTCATCTCCTCTATGGGAACTGAGTGAGCAAACATAAGAATAATAATTAATTCATTATATCAGACTAGTCAAAACGTATGCATCTTAAGTGGTAGTTTGGACCTTTTCAAGTGGAATTCTTTGGAGAAGTTAAGTACAGATAGTATCTTACCTRTTGTGGATAGAGCTAGTTTGAAGAGACAGTTCAATTTGGACTAATTCAACGAGCTAATGGCTAATTGAGTGGTGCCAGGAATTGAACTGGTGCTGTTTTAAAACAACTCCAATAAAAAAATAAAATAAAAAATTTGACAGCACTTCACGCAAATGCCTGTTATTTTATTATTTTTTTATTTTTGAACAATTACTCTTATTATCATTTCTACATTACACAGTTATTCCAGCAGGAATATTAAGATGTTCATGCAGGTAGTGGCCCTGGCTGAGCCAGATGTTGCCTGCAATTGATGTTAAATTTCTCAGCTTATTACAATAACTATAACAAAAGCGTTTAAACAATAAATAAAGCTTGTTTTTGTGATTTCAATAAAAATAATAGGTTTCTGCTAATCAGCTAACAGCTAAAAGTACAACAAATTATTTTTTAACGGGTTAGCTTTTTCACTGACAGCTAACAAACTAACATCAACAAGTTTTTGCCAGTCCCGCAAGTCTTCAGCTTTAGCGTTAGCTTCTGTTAATTTTTTTAAATTACTTTAGCTTATGTAACATTAATGAATGAATATTAATTTGCAGATTATGAATTAGTGCCCACCAGGGGTGTCACTAGATTTTAAGGACAAGCGGGGCAAGGACAAGCGGGGCTTAGCCCCCAGGAGATGCACAGAGTTTTTGTATATTATATATTTGTATTGTGTATGTGTGTGTTATAT